GAGGAGACGCTGCCCGGCAGGCCTGCCCGGAGAACAGACTGACCCCCACCCCAGAGCTCGGATCAGGCCCTCACGTGGGGCCCTAGACGGTGGGGCTCAGGCCCTGGCCCCCGTGGGGACTTCTTGGAAGCTAGGACACTCCCTGACCCCCTGGAAGCCCCGGGGCAGAACATGGTCACACGCACACCCCTTTACGTCCTGACGCAAGGTGGGAAGAGTGGGGTCAGCCCCAGCCAGGCCCTGATGCGTCCCATCCCCCTGGGGCTGTCAGTCCTGGGGCCAAGGCAGGCAGTGGCCAGGGTCACGGCGGGGGCTCAGGGGTCTGCGGCCCCCAGAGGTGGCATTCCCCTGCACCCGCTGGGCCTGGGCCCCTGGGCCTGCCTGGAGGCCCCCCTGCTTCCCAGCCAGGCAGTGGCGGGTGGGCCGGGGGCAGCCTGGGCAGGAAATGTCAGCTCCAAGGAGGGGTCTGGAATGTGCGCTCAGCCGCTGGCAGCCCGTCCAGGACACGCACGGCGGAGGGAAGGCTCCGCTGGCCTGCTCCCAAACCGAGGGTCCGCACTCTCCCCCAACGGCCGCTCCCCACCCCTGCCCCCACCAGCTCCTGGTGCCAGCGATACTGGGGTTTGCATTGGCTTCCAGCCAAACCCCGGAATGTGCCTGCTGGCTGCCCAGCAGCTGTTCCTGGAATCGGGGCGACAAAGCACCGCCTGTCTCGGAGTCGGGGCGGACGGGCCGAGCCCGCCCAGCGCCACGCATGAATAGGGCACAGAGCCCCGGGCCGAGAATGAATGGGCTCACAGACGCCCAGACACCCGTGAATGGGCCCCTGGCGTCCAAAGACGCAGTGGAACTTGGAACCGGCCACGGGGCCTGGAGACTTGGGACGTGGGGTGCAAACCACTCGGGGTCCGTACTGGTGAAATCCTTGGTGAAGGGAGAAGAGAGCCATCCCCCAACACTCTGACTCACAGCATGTGGGACTCTGGCACTCGGGAGCGGGGTGCAGGCCGCGGGGCCCTGACACCCAGGCGAGCGCTGGACACTGGCCACCAAGGGTGCCTGGGGATTTGGAGGCCCAGGGGGCAAGGCTCCTGCTATTACAGTCACAGGGTGTAAGAGTCAAGGCCTTTCGTGAACAGGGTTCACGCCCCTCAGATGCTCCAGGGATGGTGGAGGGTTCAGACCCCCAGGAAGGGGCCTGGAGTCCCTGGACCCTTGACAGCAGGGAGCCGCCTGCCTGGAGTCACGGGTGAGCCCAGTGGAGACAGCAGGACAGGATGAATGGAGTCACGGAGGCCCAGACCTCCGTGAATGGGCACTGGGCCTTCCAGGGGAATTTAGAACCAGCCACCGGGGGCCCAAGACCTGGCACATGGGCTCCCCGAGACCTTGAAGAATGGAGATTCGGGCAACTGGAGAGAAGGCCTTGGGAACTGGAGGAGGATGCATATCACCTAGGACTCCCAAGGATGGCCAGGCTGAGGGGGTGGACAAGGGAGTGGATGATTAGGGGGTGGNGCGTCTTCCTTGACCCAGGGACCAAACCCGGGTTTCCAGCATTGCAAGCAGATTCTCTACCATCTGAGGCTCTAGGGAAGCCCGAGTGGACGGTACCTGGCCTGATCCATCTGGATGAGCCAATAGACTGGCCGGCCTGGGTGAGCAGGTGCAGAGGCAGGCGAAGGTGCCAGCCCCCCAAGGATGTGGAGACACACATCGTGCCAAATTCAGGTGCTGGGGTGCCAGCTGAGGCTCTGGGACGGGGCGGCCAGACCCTCCGATGGAAGAGTAGGAGACAGCTGTCTCGCGGGGCTGGTGTGAGCGCCCAGGACTGTGTCCACGTCGCCCGACGCCCAGCAGGTGGGCGGCCGGGAGCCCAGTGTCCTGGTGTATGTCGTCAGGATGACCGGATGACAAGGAGCGCACCGTCATGCTCCAGGGAACGCGGTGAGGCCCCAGGGTTCCGAAACAGCCTGCAAGGACGGGCCCCCGAGGCTCCCCCAGGCTCTCGGTCTTAAGGGGACGTGGATTGGACAGCTGAGCTCTGCAGCAGGGTGGGACGGGGGCCTCAGACACTCCACTAACGGGGTACGGGCCTCACACTCCAACCACTGGGGGAGAGGACCCAGACGCCCAGGCTAAAGGGGTAGGACCCTGAAGCGTGTCTCGGGTGGCGTCCAGCTCTCGGGAAGCGTGGGTGCAGCCCCGGACACCTCACCCTGCGGTGAGCAGGCAGCAGTATGGGGAGGGATAGCGCACACAGTGGAGACAAGGGTGGGGGGCGCGCGCCGGTGGGGGCCGTGAACAGGGCACAGGGCTTCCAGACCGCAGGAGCAGGGCCGCGGGGCTTGGCCGGCACTCAGGCCAGTGAGAGACGTGTTGGCGGGATGGTTCGGGCCCCCAGGGGGCCAGCTAATGCGTACAGGCTTTCCAGGAACCAGGCGAGCACAGAACAGAGAGCCCCAGTGTCCAGACCAGCAGGGAACGTGCCCCCTGCACCTTGGGTGCGAGAGGAGAGGCTGCCCAGCAGCGCAGAAGCCCCATGTGTCTCCAAGAATCCCCAGGAGTGAGAAAAGATGCTCTGACGGCAGGGGTGCCCACATGAATAGATCCCCCAAGGGAACGTGAATGGGGGCCCCAAGGCTGCAGGGGAACCAGGGGTCCCAGAGGCCCTTGGGAGACGCAATGTGGGGAGGGAGCTGATGCCGGGGTCACAGAGAACCCCCGTGTTCTGACACGGGTACTGGTAAGCAGGTCTCACTGCACACGCAGCCGGATGCCGGGTACAGGCTGCCTCAGTCTCCAGATGGACGGGGTGTAGTTCACCGGATGCCCCAGGAAGCGGGGCTTGCATCCAGGGGAGACCCAGGCTCAGAGTCAGCAGGCAGACCCTCTGCTGGAGAGGAGCGCAAGGAGCCAGCTCTGCAATGTGGACCCTCCGCGGAGGGGGCAGGCTCCTCGGGTGCCCGCGTGACACGCACAGGCCCCCTCGCGCTCAGATGACGGGGTGCAGGCGTCCAGATGAAGAAGGCGCAGTTAGCCTGAGCCAAGGACCACCGGGGCACCCTCAGGCCGGGACGCAGAGGCTGGGCAGCGGGTACCCCAGCCCACGGAGGCCTGTGGCGAGCTGAGCGCCCGCCCCGCGCGGGCCGGCGAGGGCGGGGTGCACGCGTGCTGTCCCGGCACGTCTCATGGTTCCTAGCCAACAGCTCCCGGCTCCCCCAGGCCGGCGACTGCCATGAGTTCCAACCTCAAACATTCCCCCAGCAACCTCAAAGGAAGCATCCCGTCCAGGAGCCCCGCCAGGGTCTCCATGTGGCTCTTGGCTGCCAAGCCGCCGTCTCGGGGCCGCGGGGCTGGCCTGGGGCTGCCAGCTCTGTTTGGTTTTCCCCTTCCTGCCCTGGAACCTCAGACGCCCGTCTGGTCATGGAGGCGCCCAGATCCTGGGAAAGGCACAAAGACCCTACACAGCTGGGCTGGAGAGAGCCTCTCGCGGGGCAAACGCTGCAGGCGGGCCCGCGCCCCCGCGCCCACCCACGCGCCTCGCCCCCACAGCACAGGAGCCCCAGCAGGCCTCCTCTTGGCCCCAGAGCTGTTTCACTGCTCCTTCCGAGCCCCCAGCTCCGGGTGGGACAGGCAGAGGGACCCAGACCTTATACGGGGAACACGTGCCCAGAGGGACATGCACATTCCCAAGCACCATGAGCCCCCAGAGCCACACGTGACCAGCCGGGACACATGTGTGCACATGCATGCGCGTGCATCCCATCGGTGCTGTCCCCAAAACAGCCTTGGCACCTGGGTCCAGGGTCCCAGAAGTCCGGCCCAACAAGCCCCGCGGGCTGGCTAAGCATTAGCCAGTCCCACGTTTGGCCGTGGGTTGATAATGGGTTGGGAGACACCCTGACCTGGGTGGGCCTCTCAGAGCTGGACCCGGGGAGGGACCGGACGTGGAGTAACTGGACCAGATAAACTGGCCGGAGCAGAGTGCGGCTCTGCTGACCGGCCCTACTGGAGCAGGACTCCGCCCGCTGCCTCCGCAGCCGGGGCCAGAGGCTCAGACGGAGTGGGCTCTGGAAGGCTCCCTGGGCCCTGGGAGCAACAGAAGGGCCAACAGGCCCGGGCAGTCAATAGTGAGGGCGCCTGGCCCCGCTCACTTTGCTGGGGGCCAAGTGCCCCCGGGTTTGGCTCCAGCGGACCCAGAAAGTCACTCGTCTCCAAACCCAGGCATCCTCCTGACTCGGGACACCGCCCCCCGCACCCCGGCGTACACCTTTCACAAGCTGAGTGCAGCCCGACCTGCCCACGGCCCCGCCTGAAGGCCGGTCCCAGGGGGCCAGCACGCCCTCCGGCGGGGCCTTCAGGAGGACCTGCGATGCCCCGGGGGAGCCCTGCGGGGGGGGTTCTGGGAGGGGCCCTCCTCCCAAAGGAGTTTCCTGGCCCCCGAGGGCCAGCGGTTCTGGCCCTGAGGTGGGGCTCCCCGAAGCCCTGCCTCCCACACCCCGCCACCCCCCACCCCACCCGAAGCAGAGTTTCCAGCCAGTAGAGGCTGAGCAGAGCCGCGCGCTCGGGCGCCGTCTTCCAGGGCCCAGGGCCGAGGGGAGGCCTGGAGGCCGGGCGTCAGGTGAGAGCACGTGGTGGCCGGGCGGGCCCGCTGCCCCTCAACAGCTGGGGGAATCCTGTTCTTCTGGAAGGAGGCCCACAGGAGCTTTGTTTCCTGGAAGAATCAAACATTCCAGTTAGACCAAAGGTGGCAGGGTCAGTCAGCACAGCTTTGGCAGGTGCCCAGCCCCAGGTGGACAAGGAGGCCCTCCCCCGGGGAGAGCTGGCATGCCCGACTGGGGGAGGACACAGCGTGGAACCCAGCATCGCTCCTGCAGGTCCCAGGGCCTGGAGTGAGCAGGAAAGTCTTCCTGGAGGAGGTGGGGGGACTCACTCAGGTCTCCAAGGCCAAGCAGGATGGGGAGGGGGCGGCAGCGGGAAGCTCATGGAGCCGCAGGATGGCTTGGCAGCTGCAGGAGCTAAACGGCTTGTGCCAGGAGGTGGGGAGGAGGATGCCACCCTGCCCAGAAGGGGAGAGCAGGGTGGCCTGGAGGAAACCCTGGAGGAGGTGGCGGGGCTGAGACTCCACTCAGGAAGGACCCAGCCCCCACTTCCTGGGAAAAGCAGCCTTAGCACCCAGGAGGTTTTCCCCAGCAGGGCCACAGAAGGTAGTCTCCTGTAGGGACATCCGGCCCCTCCTGAGCGGCTGAGGCACTGCCCAGGCAGGGAGGGCATCCAGAGGCCGGCACGGGGACAGGGAGGGCTGAGCAGGGCCCGTGAGGCCACCCCTGGGCCACCTGCCCTCCCGGGGCCCCTGCGAGCACCCCCAGGACCCGGGCCTGGGCACAGGCTGGCGGCCCCGCCCGGCCGGTGGAGCAGACAGTGCCACCTGGTGGCCGCGTGCAGGCCGGAACCCTAACCACCGCGGGAACCCGGCCATCCAGGCGGACCCTGCGCCTGCCCAGGCCTCGGGGGCCCCCACCGCTCACTGCTGGTGTGCCCAGGGGCCCGTGGTCCCCTCGGGTTGGCTCCCAGGCCCCTCTTGTGGTTCTGGGGCTCCCCCTTCACCAAATCCCGGCAGCTTGAAATCCACAGCTCTCCGGCCAAACAGGAGGACAGCAGCCAAGCTGGGTGCAGGGAGGGTACACGCATGCACACTCACAAGTGTGCACGCACACGCGCCCCCCACAGGCACACACACGCGTCCACACTCACCCACACACAGGCACGCACACGACCCCCCCACAGGCACGCACACGCGCCCACACTCACCCACACACAGGCACGCACACGCACCCCCCACAGGCACGCACACGCGCCCACACTCACCCACACACAGGCACGCACACGCACCCACACACACACACAGATGGGGACTCTGGGTTGACAATGACCACTGACCCCATATTCTCCACCATGAGAACTGCGAAGGAAGCTGTCTTAATTCTGGATGCACTTCGGCTATGATGTGTCAGGAGGTAAAGGTGGGCTTTCAGCCCCTCGTGGGAGCTGGGACTCTGCGTCCACCACAGGGCAGCTCCAGGGGCCTGCGGGCCAGCGGCTCTGGGCAGCCCACCCGGGCGCTCCTCCAGGTGGCCTAGGAGGGGTCAGCGGGGCCGCCTGGTCCTGTGAGCGCCCCGAGCACCCCCACGCTCCACCACCAGGGCCTCGCCAGCGGCCCCCCGGCCAGGACTGGCTCCACAGTTATGGGGTCCACGCAGGACTCCTGAGGCCTCTTGCTCCAAACCTTCACTCTCCAAGCTGGTAGCGGCGGGGGTGAGAGCAAGCTCGGCCTCTGCCCTGAGTCCCTGCCAGCCTGACGCCCCCTCCTCGTGTGGGCGGCTCCCCGGGGCCTGGCTCTGCCCGCTGCAATCGGACAGCCCCTGTGGGGACGAGACAGGCTCATGCAGGGGGCAGGGGAGACAGCTGGGCTGTGCAGCCGGACCCCCGTGGCCAGGACCCCCGCTTTGATGGTGGCCCCTCCTAAACAGGTTGGGCTGGTGCTGGTGGGGGCCACTGAGGCCGTTCGTTAGATGGAGGGGCCTTTTCTGACCCTCCCCGCACTAGGCAGCAGGGTGGGCGGGGGACACGGAAGTGTGGGGTCCAGCTCTGACGTCTGCCTGTTCCTGGGGGGCTGGGGCTGGGCTGGATCCTATGACCAAGCCGCTGGTGCCCCCGGGAGGATGGGAGCCCAGGACAAGCTGTTTCGGGGAGCTGCAGAGGTTCCGGAGGAAAGCAGTGGCCTGAGAAGTGGATTGGGGGGCGTTGCGGCCAGCCTTGCAGGGCTGAGCGGAGGGTGGCCTTCTAGTGGCCTGGAGTTCTGCTCTGTCACGGACCCGCTGCCTGCAGGGTGGGGGCTCCGATGAGCACAGTGGTCAGCATCCTTGCAATGCCACCCAGGTACAGCCGGAGGTGGGTAACGTGGCATCTGGACTTGGGGGGGCCAGCAGTGGGGGCGCCTGCAGCTGTCTCTGGAGTAGGACTCTGGAAGCCAGGAGGTGAGGGGGTCCCAGAGGATGTGTGGGATTTTGGAGGGGTGACGGGTGAAGGGTGAGTGCCCAGTGCTGGGTGGTGCAGGGCTGACCGGGGAGGGGCACCTGGCTGAAACAACCCCCTGGCTCCTAGATCAGGGTGGGCCTCCAGCAGGCCACGGAGCTGAGGTCCAGGGCTCCGGGTGGCACAGCAGACCCCTATGACTGCCTGAGCCTGTCCCCGGACGCCGGGCGCAAGCACGAGACGAAGGTGCACCGCGGCACACTGTGCCCTGTGTTCAGGGAGACCTGCTCCTTCCACATGGGTCGGGGCAGGGCCCGGGGGCCTGGGCGGGCGGCTCACACCCCTCCCGCAGGTGCCGCCCGCGGGGCTGCCCGGCCACCCGCAAGTGCTGCTCCTGGACCGCAGGCGCCGCTCCCAGCACCGGCCGCTGGGCGCGCTCAGCCTGCTGCTGGGCTCCGTGGATCTGCGGCACNCCAGGCCCTCAGACCTGGGAGGCCCCCTGACCCCTTTCGTGCGCCCAGACCCCTATGTGAAGGTCCAGCCCATGCTGAACCAGAGGAAGTGGAAGAGAAAGACGTCGGCCAGGAAGGGCACGGCCACCCCTTACTTCAATGAGGCCTTCACCTTCCTTGTGCCCTTCAGCCAGATCCAGGTGGGCTGCCTGGAGGAGGGGGTGGGGGGGAACCTCACTCAGGGCAAAACTGACTGCTGTCTTTCTTCCCCTCCTCCTACACCTCCGCCTGCTTCTACCCAGGGCATGGATCTGGTGCTGGCTGTGGGCCGAGCCTGTCGGCAAGGTGCTGCTGGGCTCCCGGGCCTCTGGGCAGCCCCTCCAGCACTGGGTGGACATGCTGGCCTGGCGGCCCGACGCCCAGTGGCGCCGCCTGCAGCCGGCCGGGGAGGTGGACCAGGCCCTGGCCTTGCAGTCCTGCCGGCGTCTGCCCTTGCCCGGCTTCTGAGGGCGTCCCTGGGCCTGGGTCTCCCATGCGGGTTGCCCCGGGTCCTGCCGTAATAAACAGCTTCGCCCCACACCATGTGTCCTTCCTGAGCTCTGCGGGCACTGCAGGGTCAGGGCCTCCCAATACCGCCACGGCCCCTCCTGTGGATGAGAGAGGGTCTCCTCTCATGGCTCAGCCAGGCCTTGAGGCCTCTGACTGGTGCCTGACCCCTGAGTTAGGGCAAAGGGGCCCCTCTAGGCCCGCTGGGGATGATCCTAGAGGTGGGGCCCCCTCATCTGGGACGACTAGAGAGTTAGGGATGGGTCCCTGGGGACACAGTGGGCAAGAGGGAGATGTTTGGGGGTGGTGGTGACAGGGGATGGAGGGAACTCCAGTTCCTGGGACCACCCCAGTTCCCCACAAAGCCCCCAGACCGACTGGATGGTGGTGTGGGCCCCCCCCCCAAGCGCACGCACAGCAGGGGGCAGTAGATGCCTGCAGAAGCCGCCCTGGGCCCTTGGGGGCTCAGTCTGGCCCAGAAAGCAGCTCCAATCCCCACACATCTGGACGGCTTTAGCTATCCCTGACCCTCCCCAAGGCCGAGAACCCCCAGCTCAAAGGATGCCAAGTCATGGTCGTCCGGATGCCTCTGCTGGGTGGGGGCCAGGGCGGGGGGCCGCAGGCCTGGGGCTGGGGTGAGGAGAGCAGTGCTGGGCCTGCCTGAGCTGCCTGCCTGAGCCTCGGGTCAGGGAGAGGTTCCCAGGCCGGTGGTGCCGAAATCCGGGGTTTGAAGGACGTGTTCCGAGCTGGGCGGGGAGCCAGCCCACGGGCAGGGCGCTTGGGCAAGGCTGCATGCCCATCTGGGACCTCCCGTCCCGCTCTGGGAGGATGGTGGGGTCCCACCCTCGAGGGCAGTCCCCCCACCCTCAGCCCAGGGTCCCCGGGGCTGCTGCAGGCCCTGGAGGCTCTGTCTGGGGTCTGGCCTTGCCCCTGGCCAGCTTGAGGCAGGGAACACGGGAACAGCTCATGCCCAAGCCGCCCACTGGGCTAGAGGGGACAATGGGCAGCAGAGTGTAAGCAGCCCAGGGCTGCTGTTTCCCGGGGGCCCAGAGGCCTGGGGAGGCCGAGGGGAACCCAGAGTGAACCCTGACTCTGGGCGGACGGGGCTGGGCCGGAGTGACCCCTCGGCTGACCCCTGAGCTGGGCCCCACAGCTGCTGAGGCCGTCACGCTGTCCTCGGGCTCCTTGCAAGATACAAGGGAGGCGATTCGAAGTCGTCACCTCGCCCTAAATAGACCAACCCAACCTCAGCACCCCCCTCCCAAGACTTCTTGGCCTGGACGGCGGCAGCGGCGGCGGGGCCGGGCCAGGCGGCCTGGGCAGGTGGGGAGGTCCCTGTGCCCCCATTGGTCTGAGGAGGACTCCATGCCCTTTCTGAGCGGAGGCCCAGCCCGGGGGAGGCCATTTATAGCCCTCCCCCGGACCCACCAGTCATTTCGGGCACACTTTCTCCTCTTACTGCCCGCCCCCGCCCCGGGGAATTCCAAGACGTGGCCCTGAAGGAGGTGGGGGTGGGGGGCGGGTTGGTGCTGTCCCCGCCCCGCCGGGTGCAGGGCAGGCGGGCAGGGGCCCTGACCCCCTCACCTTTCTCTCCCGCAGGCTATCAGCCCAGGACTGCACAATGGGGGAGTAAGTGCAACCCTCAGCCCGCTGCCCCCAGGGCCCCCGCCCCCCAGCGCTGGGTGGGGGTCTCCGCGTGTCCCCACCTGGCCACCCCTTGTGCCCGCCGGCCCCATCACACAGCCCCGTGGCCCTAACCTCTCTTCTCTCTCCCCCACCCCCCGCCCGCTCTCCTGGGACAGTGAGGAGGTGAGTACTGGCTTGGGGGTGAAACACGGAGGGGATGGGACCCCCAAGTCAGGACAGGCCTGAAACTGGAGTTCCGAGGCCCAGGGAGACGGTCTGTCACCTTGTGGGTGAAACTGCCCCACCCCACCCACCGAGACAGCGAGAAACAGAGGAAGTTGCCTCCCCGCCGGCCTCTCCCACGGGCCAGGGGAAGTGAGGCTGCGGCCTGGTCACCGGGGAGTCGCTTCTTCTTTCTCATGGCTGCTCCCCACCCCCATCCCCGGGGCCCGAGGGTCTCCCCTGCCCTCCTCCCGGCCTCCCCGTCCGAAGTCTCTTCTCCAGACCCCAGGCCTTCCAACCAGAAGGGCCGCCCTGGCAAAGGGTCACCACGTGGCACCGTGTCCCGGGCTCATGTCCCCCCACCAGGCCCAGGCCCTGCCGTCCCTTGGGCAGGATGCCCTGGCTGGCCGGGCGGGCAGGGAAGGGTGCAGGGTGCCGGGATCCCGCACCCCCCACCAGCCCTGACTGCACCTCCTCTCCCTGCCCTGCAGAAACGCAACAGGGCCATCACGGCCCGCAGGCAGCACCTGAAGGTAGGTGCGGGCCCGGGAAGGGCGGCCCGGGGGGTCTACAGCCTGGCCAGCCGCAGCCCCTCACCACCTGCTGCCCGCCCCCCGGCCCCCAGAGCGTCATGCTGCAGATCGCGGCCACGGAGCTGGAGAAGGAGGAGGGCCGCCGGGAGGCGGAGAAGCAGAACTACCTGTCGGAGCACTGCCCGCCGCTGCATCTCCCCGGCTCCATGTCCGAAGTGCAGGTACCCCCGTGGGCCCCGTCCCTGGCCTGGACCGGCCTCCCCCGGGTCAGGAGGACGAGCGGGGTGGTCAGGCGGGTGGAGGCCAAGCGCGGGGTCGCCCACCCGCCCACTCACCACGGTCTCCGCCGCCAGGAGCTCTGCAGACAGCTGCACGCCAAGATCGACGCGGCCGAGGAGGAGAAATACGACATGGAGGTGAAGGTGCAGAAGAGCACCAAGGAGGTGAGACGCGGGGGGCGTGTGGGGCCCGGGGCGCGCGGGGCTGCCCTGACGGCGGGACCCAGCCTTGCCGCCCGCCCTGCAGCTGGAGGACATGAACCAGAAGCTGTTCGACCTGAGGGGCAAGTTCAAGAGGCCCCCGCTGCGCCGCGTGCGCATGTCGGCCGACGCCATGCTGAAGGCTCTGCTGGGCTCCAAACACAAGGTGTGCATGGACCTGCGGGCCAACCTCAAGCAGGTCAAGAAGGAGGACACAGAGAAGGTAGGCTGTCCCCGCCGGCGGGGGCTCAGCCCCGGGGCCCGCCTGCGGGGCCGGGCGTGGGGGGCCAGGGTGGCGGGGCGCCGGCCTGAGCCCTGTCCTCCTCCCTGCAGGAGCGCGACCTGCGGGACGTGGGCGACTGGAGGAAGAACATCGAGGAGAAGTCGGGCATGGAGGGCCGCAAGAAGATGTTCGAGACCGAGTCCTAGGCCCCTCACCCCCGGCCACCGCCCAGCACCCCTGCAACCTCGGGGGCCCCCCGAGGCCGGCTTGGCACCTGTCAATAAAGGATTCCAATCCCCATGTCTGCTCCCTCCTGCACTGGTCCGGCGCCGCCCCAGCCTCTGTCCACAGGCAGCCCTGGGAAGGCCCTGAGCCTGTGCCTGGGCTTGGTGTGGGGGAGCCACAAGCAGGCTTTGGGGGTCCCGGCTGTCCTGGGGGGCGGTCTCCAGGCCAGGGGCCCTCCTCCCTGCCCACCCGCTGGGGCAGCCGGGTGGCGTTGGCAGTCAGACCCCCAGGCCTGGACACAGGTGGCCGGGGCCGTTTCAGAGCAACACCCTGAGATGACCGTGCGGCTGTTGTCGCTGTTGTCACAGAGGTCCCCTCGAGGCCCAGAGACACTCACTGTCCTTGAGGCCCCAGCCCACGCAGAGGCCTGGGGGGCCTCCCTCCCCTCGCAGGCAGCCCGTTCCTCCCAGCTGCCCCTCCCCAGACCCCAGGCACCCAGACGGGCTTGGGGGGTGGTCCTGGACCAGACTCCTGGGGGCTTCAAGGGGCTGCGGTCTGTCTCTCCCCGGAGACTGGCAGCCCCACTCTAGGCCCAGCGGAGTGGGGAGGCCTGGCCCTCCTTCCTGCCTGCCCCTGGCCCTGGCCACCCCTTCAGGGGACAATGTCCCTGGCATGCCCAGACGGGACTGTCACAGCAAGGCCGCCTTCAGCCTCCGCCTGAGGGATGATGGCACGGTCCACGAAGGCCCCGCGCTCAGATCTCTGGTGGGGAGGCCAGGCCTCAGCGATGACGGAGCGGCTGTCCACCCCGCCCTTGCCCTCGGGAGGCCCCCGCGACTGATGCGCAGGGGCCCGGAGCCTTGAGCCTCGAGGGAGAGACGTCAGCCCGCCCGAGGCCTTGGCCAGTCCCGCTGCCTGGCCCTGATGCTGCAGCCCAGGGACTGGGCTCCGTCCTGCGAGCACCTTGCTGCGGGCCCTCCAGCTCGGCTACCCCGCGGCTCAGGGCGGGCCCGGCAAGCCCTCCTGCTTGGCTAACCTAGCGCTCCCGACAGCGGGCGGCTCGTGAGTGCGGAGCCCAGTGCGGGCAGGCGGCAGGCTGTGGGCTCCAGGACTGAGTGGGCTGCGGTGGCCAGAGCTCCCAGTGGGAGCAGTACCTGCCCCCTATCCCGCAAAGTGAGCCCAGCACCTGTGCAGGGAAAGAGGGCGTGACTCTGTCCCTGGGGCTGGGGGCATGGCACCCCAGGGAGGCGACCCCCACAGGCTGGACCCAACTCTTGATGGGTTTGGGGAATGATCTTCACCCCATGGACGTAGCCCGCCAAGCTCCTCTGTTCATGGAATTCTCCAGGGAAGAACACTGGAGTGGGCAGCCATTCCCTTCTCCAGGGGATCTTCCCAACCCAGGGATTGAAGCCACATCTCCCCTATCTGAGCCACCTGGGAAACCCCCAGGCTCATGGGTGCTTGTTACATTTTCCAATGAACAAACGACATGACTGAGGACCATGTGAACCAAGCCAGACCGGCAAACACCCACCCCATGCAGCTCGGCCTGGCTCCACACCTCTCTGCCACCCTCTGAGGGTGGTACTGCTGGGTGACCTGTGTCCCTGCAGCCGTGTGGACATGGGGCCAATCAGAGAAGCATGTACTCCACCTGAGGGCAAGTGGTGAGGACTCGGCCTTCTAGAAAGTTCTCTGCAGCATGGAGAATGGCTGAGGCTGGAGGCAGGAAGGGAGCCACGGTCACTCCTGGGAGGCAGGGGGAGAGCGGCAGTGGGTGCAGAGAGCTTCGAGAGGCAGAGCCCCCAGGACGTGGTGGACCAGAGAGATGGGGCACCCAGGTCTGTGCCCAGAGCGGGTGCAGGGCTGGTTCTGCGGGGGGAGGAAGTGGCTGATCCCAGACAGACAGCTGGGTGCAGGGGTCGGGGCTGAAGATGGGGTCTGAGCATCCTCAGCGCTGGGCAAGGTCCCTGACAACGGGTGGGGGGAGGCAGCAACTCCTGAAGCGCCTGAGCCAGATGCTGCCTGGGAAGAACCCCCGAGGGCAGGAAGAGCCGGCAAGACGTGCAGGGGATGTGCCCACTGGGGGTGATGCTGGAGGTCAGGAAGTCCCAGGGGACCTGGCTTGGCTGGGCCGGGGGCCGGGTGAGCCTGGCGGAGACTGGCTGGATGCTGGCTTGGCTGGGCCGGGGGCCGGGTGAGCCTGGCGGAGACTGGCTGGATGCTCCCGTCTGCTCCCGGGAGGTGCGGGGTGTGTACGGCTTTGGGCCTGCAGCTCGCTCCATCCTGCCCCTGCGAGGGCACCCAGACACCCGGGGCCTCGGTGCCTACACTGCCCTCCAGGAAGCGAGCACGGCTCAGGGGTGGACGGCTGAGCACAGGGGCTGTGGGTGCCCAGAGAGCCTGGACCGTCTCGGCACCAGCAAGGAGGAGGGCGGAGCGAAGACAGAGCAGACCCAAGGAGGGCAGGTGGGCAGCAGGCAGGCGGTGGCCGGCGAGAGCTCAGCGGTGGACTGAGGTTGGGCCTGCACTGCGGTCAGGGGAGAGGGCTGCTCCTGTTTTAGGAAAGACTGTGAGTCCCTAGGAGTAGAGGAGGCTGTAACAGGGGCAGAGATGGCAGGTGATGGAGCTGAGGATGTGCATGGGCTCTGAGGCTCAGTCTTGAAACTTTTCTGATGGCCTGAAATAATTTCCTCCCAATTAAACCTTCTTTAAAAAACCTCTTAAACAATGGCAAAATGGTTGTTCTTCAGTTTCTCAGTTGTGTCTGACTCTTTGTGACCCCATGGACTGTAGCACGCCAGGCTTCCCTGTCCTTCACTATCTCCTGGACTTTGCTCAAACTCATGTCCATTGAGTCAGTGATGCCATCCAATCATCTCATCCTCTGTCATCCCCTTCTCTTTCCCAGCATCAGGGTCTTTTCCAATGTGTTGGCTCTTTGCGTCAGGTGACCAAAGTATTGTTGCTTCAGTCCTTCCAATGAATATTCAGGATTAATTTCCTTTAGGATTGACTGGTTTGATCTCCTTGGTGTCCAAGGGACTCTCAAGAGTCTTCTCCAGCATCAGAGTTTGAAAGCATCAATTCTTCGGCACTCAGCCTTCTTTATGGTCTGACTCTCACATCAGTACGTGACTACTGGAAAAACCATAGCTTTGACTATACGGATCTTTGTCAAGAAAGTGATGTCTCTGCTTTTTAATATAGTGTCTAGGTTTGCCTAACTTTTCTTCCAAGGAATAAGCATCTTTAATTTCATGGCTGCAGTCACCATCTGCAGTGATTTTGGAGCCCAAGAAAATAAAGTCTGTCACTTGATGGTGGGAGGCGGAGGACCCAGACGGGGGTCTTGGGAGGGTTCCGGACCCACCCTTCTTCAGCAGGTCGGGTGAGTGCGGTGGGCCAAAGAGACAAGGCGGGGCGGGAGGTGCCAGCCTCAGGGATGGGATGCTGCCAGGAGTCCACTCGGGAGCGGACAGAGCCCTGTGGACTAGGACGGGTGTCTTCCCTGTCCTTCACCATCCCCTGGAGTTTGTTTAAACTCATGTCCATTGAGTTGGTGATGCCATCCAACCATCTCATCTTCTACTGCTCCCTTCTCCTCCTGCCCTCAATCTTTCCCAACATCAGGTCTTTTCCAACGAGTTGGCTCTTTGCATCAGGTGGCCAAAGTATTGGAATTTTAGCTTCAGCATCAATCCTGCTAATGAATATTCAGGGCTGGTTTCCAAGGGACTCTCAAGAGTTTTTTTCCAGCACCACAGTTTGAAAGCATCAATTCTTCAGCATTCAGCCTTTTTTATGGTCCAACTCTTACACCCGTACACGACCATTTGAAAAACCATGGCTTTGACTGTTTGGACCTTTGTCAGCAAAGTGATATCTCTGCTCTTCAATACACTGTCTAGGTTTGTCATAAGTTTCTTTTCAAGAAGCAAGCGTCTTCTAAGTTCATGGCTGCAGTTACCATCTGTAGTGATTTAAAGCCCAAGAAAAGAAAATCAGCCACAGCTTCTACTTTTCCCCCTTCTATTTGCCGTGAAGAGATGGGACTGGATGCCATGATCTCCATTTTCTGAATGTTGAGTTTTAAGTCAGCTTTTTTACCCTCCTCTTTCACCCTCATCAAGAGGCTCTTTAGATCTTCTTCTCTTTCTGCCATTAGAGTGGCATCATCTGTGTATCTGAGGTTGTTGATATTTCTCCAGGCAATCCTGATTCCAGAGTGTGCTTCATCCAGCCCAGCATTTTGCAAGATGCACTCGGAATATAAGTTAAATAAGCAGAGTGATGATATACAGCCTTGACGCACTCCTTTCCCGATTTTTAACCAGTCCGTTGTTCCATGTCCAGTTCTAACTGTTGCTTCTTGACCTGCATACAGGTTTCTTGGGAGACAGATAAGGTGGTCTGGTATCCCCACCTCTTTAAGAATTTTCCACAGTTGGTTGTGATCCATACAGTCAAAGGCCTTCATGTAGTCAATGAAGCAGAAATAGATGTTTTTCTGGAGTTCCTGTGCTTTTTCTATGATCCAACGAATGTTGGCAATTTGATCTCTGGTTCCTCTGCCTTTTCTAAAGCTCACACATCTGGAAGTTTTTGGTTCATGTTCTGCTAAAGCCTAGCTTGGAAGATTCTGAGCATGACCTTGCTAGCATGTGAAAGGAGCGCAACTGGACGGTAGTTTGAACATTCTTTGGCTTCCTGGCAATTCCAGGCCCACTGAAGCTGTCTCCCTTGCAAGGAGACCCAGCCAGGTGCCCGGGGTCCCAGGCGCACCCCTCGGCCTGACCCCCAGCCCCCATCAGGGCTCACGTGTGTGCACAGACACCCTGATCTGTTCCCCTGTCTCCGATGGCGCCTGTCACCCACCTGCCACCCCCGGGCTCCCACCTGCCCTGGCAGACTCCCTGTCTCTTTCTGTCCCCAGGCCAGGACCCCAGGCCCCAGCTCCCCTGATGCGGGAGCACGTGGCGGTGGTGGGGGGAGCTGCACCACCAAACCCCGAGGCTCCTCCCAGAGGAAAGCCCGCCCAGCGCTGCGCACGCTCGCACGCATGAGAGCCG